GGTGAATGGCATAACGACATGGTGAATGGACATCACGATATGGTGAATGGACATGACGATATAGTGAATGGACATGACGATATAGTGAATGAACATCACGATATGGTGAATGGACATCACGATATGGTGAATGGATATGACGATATAGTGAATGGACATGACGATATAGCGAATGAACATCATGATATGGTGAATGGACATCACGATATGGTAAATGGACAAGACGATATAGTGAACATACATCACGATATGGTGAATGGCATCACGATATGGTGAATGGACATCATGATATGGTGAATGGACATCGCGATGTCGTGAATGGACACCTCTATGTGGTGAACAGAGATCGCGCTATGGTGAATGAACATGGTGATATGGCGAATGGACATCACGATCGGGTGAATGGACATCACGATATGGTGAGTGGTCATCGCAATATGGTGGACGGAAATCACAATATGGTGAGTGAACATTACGATATGATGAATGGACATCACGATTTGGCGGATTGACATCACGATATGGTTGGTGAACGTGACGATATGGTGAGTGGACATGATGGTATGGTGAATGGTGATCAAGATATCGTGAATGGACATCACTATGTGAAGAACAGAGATCATGTTATGGAGAATGAACATGGCGATATGGTGAATGGACATCACGATATGGTGGGTGCATGGGACGATATGGTAAATGGACATCACGATATGGTTGGTGAACGTGACGATATGGTGAGTGGACATCACGATATGGTTGGTGAACGTGACGATATGGTGAGTGGACATCACGATATCGTGAATGGACTTCACTATGTGGTGGATAGAGATCACGTTATGGTGAATGAGCATGGTGATATGGCGAATGGACATCACGATATGGCGGGTGAACGTGACGATATGGTGAGCGGGCATCACGATATGGTGAATGGACATCACGATATGATGGGTGGACATCCCGATATGGTGAATGGATATCATGATATGATGGATGAACATCACAATATGATGGGTGAACGTAACGATATGGTGAGTGGACATCACGTTATGGTTGGTAAACGTGACGATATGGTGAGTGGACATCACAATATGATGGATGGTCATCCCGATGTGATGAATGAATATATTATGATATGATGGATGAACATCACGATATCGTAGGTGAACTTGACGTTATGTTGAGTGGACATGACGATATGTTGAATGGATATCATGATATGATGGATGAACATCATAATATGGTGAATGGACATCACGATATGGTGGGTGAACTTGACTGTATGCTGAGTGGATATGACGACATGGTGAATGGATATGACGACACTGTGAAGGGAGATCATGATATTGTGAATGGACATCACGATAATGCGAATGGGTATCCCGATATGGTGAATGCACATCACGATATGGTTGGTGAACGTGACATATTATAGAGTATTTCCGATATGATGATTGGACATCGCTATGTGGTGAATGAAGATCACGATATGGTGATTGGACATCACTATGTGGTAAATGGAGATAACGATATGTTGAGTGAACGTGGATTGTGGTGATTGGACATTGCTATGTGATGAATGAAGATCACGATATGGTGATTGCACATCGCCATGTGGTGAATGAAGATCACGATATGGTGATTGGACATCGCTATGTGGTAAATAAAGATAACGATATGATGAGTGAATGTGGATTGTGGTGATTGGACATTGCCATGTGGTGAATGAAGATCACGATATGATGATTGGACATCGCTACGTGGTGAATGAAGATCACGATATGGTGATTGGACATCGCTATGTGTTGAATGAAGATCACGATATGGTGATTGGACATCGCTATGTGGTGAATGAAGATCACGATAATGATGATTGGACATTGCTATGTGGTGAATGAAGATCACGATGTGGTGATTGTACATCGCTATGTGATAAATGGATATCACGATATGGTGAGTGAACGTAGATTGTGGTGATTGGACATTGCTATGTGGTGAATGAAGCTCACGATATGATGATTGGACATCGCTATGTTATAAATGAAGATAACGATATGGTGAGTGAACGTGGATTGTGGTGATTGGACATTGCTATGTGGTGAATGAAGATCACGATATGATGATTGGACATCGCTATGTGGTAAATGAAGATAACGATATGGTGAGTGAACGTAGATTGTGGTGATTGGACATTGCTATGTGGTGAATGAAGCTCATGATATGATGATTGGACATCGCTATGTGGTAAATGAAGATAACGATATGGTGAGTGAACGTAGATTGTGGTGATTGGACATTGCTATGTGGTGAATGAAGATCACGATATGGTGATTGGACATCGCTATGTGGTAAATGAAGATAACGATATGGTGAGTGAACGTGGATTGTGGTGATTGGACATTGCTATGTGGTGAATGAAGATCACGATATGGTGATTGGACATCGCTATGTGGTGAATGAAGATCACGATATGGTGATTGGACATCGCTATGTGGTAAACGAAGATCACGATATGGTGATTGGACATCGCTATGTGGTGAATGAAGATCACGATATGGTGATTGGACATCGCTATGTGGTAAATGGAGATAACGATATGGTGATTGGACATCGCCATGTGGTAAATGGAGATAACGATATGGTGAGTGAACGTGGATTGTGGTGATTGGACATTGCTATGTGGTGAATGAAGATCACGATATGGAGATTGGACATCGCTATGTGGTGAATGAAGATCACGATATGATTGGACGTCGCTATGTGGTGAATGAAGATCACGATATGATGATTGGACATCGCTATGTGGTGAATGAAGATCACGATATGATGATTGGACGTCGCTATGTGGTGAATGAAGATCAGGATATGATGATTGGACATCGCTATGTGGTGAATGAAGATCACGATATGGTGATTGGACATCGCTATGTGGTGAATGAAGATCACGATATGATTGGACGTCGCTATGTGGTGAATGAAGATCACGATATGATGATTGGACATCGCTATGTGGTGAATGAAGATCACGATATGATGATTGGACGTCGCTATGTGGTGAATGAAGATCAGGATATGATGATTGGACATCGCTATGTGGTGAATGAATATCACGATATGATGATTGGACATCGCTATGTGGTAAATGAAGATAACGATATGGTGAGTGAACGTGGATTGTGGTGATTGGACATTGATATGTGGTGAATGAAGATCACGATATGATGATTGGACATCGCCATGTGGTGAATGAAGATCACGATATGGTGATTGGACATCGCTATGTGGTAAATGAAGATAACGATATGATGAGTGAACGTGGATTGTGGTGATTGGACATTGCTATGTGGTGAATGAAGATCACGATATGGTGATTGGACATCGCTATGTGGTAAATGAAGATAACGATATGGTGAGTGAACGTGAATTGTGGTGATTGGACATTGCTATGTGGTGAATGAAGATCACGATATGGTGATTGGACATCACTATGTGGTGAATGAAGATCACGATATGGTGATTGGACATCGCTATGTGGTAAATGGAGATCACGATATGGTGAGTGAACGTGGATTGTGGTGATTGGACATTGCTATGTGGTGAATGAAGATCACGATATGGTGATTGGACATCGCTATGTAGTAAATGAAGATAACGATATGGTGAGTGAACGTGGATTGTGGTGATTGGACATTGCTATATGGTAAATGAAGATCACGATATGGTGATTGGACATCGCTATGTTGTAAATGAAGATAACGATATGGTGATTGGACATCGCTATGTGGTAAATGGAGATAACGATATGGTGATCGGACATCGACATGTGGTAAATGGAGATAACGATATGGTGAGTGAACGTGGATTAAGGTGATTGGACATTGCTATGTGGTGAATGAAGATCACGATATGGTGATTGGACATCGCTATGTGGTAAATGAAGATCACGATATGGTGATTGCACATCGCCATGTGGTGAATGAAGATCACGATATGGTGATTGGACATCGATATGTGGTAAATAAAGATAACGATATGATGAGTGAATGTGGATTGTGGTGATTGGACATCGCCATGTGGTGAATGGAGATCGCGATATGGTGATTGGACGTCGCTATGTGGTGAATGAAGATCACGATATGATGATTGGACATCGCTATGTGGTGAATGAATATCACGATATGATGATTGGACATCGCTATGTGGTAAATTAAGATAACGATATGGTGAGTGAACGTGGATTGTGGTGATTGGACGTCACTATGTGGTGAATGAAGATCACGATATGATGATTGGACGTCGCTATGTGGTGAATGAAGATCACGATATGATGATTGGACATCGCTATGTGGTGAATGAAGATCACGTATGATGATTGCACATCGCTATGTGGTGAATGAATATCACGATATGATGATTGGACATCGCTATGTGGTAAATGAAGATAACGATATGGTGAGTGAACGTGGATTGTGGTGATTGGACATTGCTATGTGGTGAATGAAGATCACGATATGATGATTGGACATCGCCATGTGGTGAATGAAGATCACGATATGGTGATTGGACATCGCTATGTGGTAAATGAAGATAACGATATGGTGAGTGAACGTAGATTGTGGTGATTGGACATCGCTATGTGGTGAATGAAGATCATGATATGGTGAGTGAACGTGGATTGTGGTGATTGGACATTCTATGTGGTGAATGAAGATCACGATATGGTGATTGGACATCGCCATGTGGTGAATGAAGATCACGGTATGGTGATTGGACATCGCTATGTGGTAAATGAAATTAATGATATGGTGAGTGAACGTGGATTGTGATGATTGGACATCGCTATGTGGTGAATGAAGATCACGATATGATGATTGGACATTGCTATGTGGTGAATGAAGATCACGATATGGTGAGTGAACGTGACGATGCTGTGAATGGACATCTCGAAATGGTAAATGGACAACACATACTGTGAATGGGCACTAGAAATCTGAGTGCAATGTTCCATGTGGTTCAATACAAAAATTAAATCAGTCACGATCAACCCACCATAACGTGTCATTTCTAGTAGATAATATTTGTTAATAGATTACCTAAGTAGACGTTTCGAGCAATGGCACTTGTCTCTTGGCATAAGGGTGATACAAACTGTTACATAAGTCAGTTAGTCCATAATTTTAACCGTTATCACGTGTCACCAACTGTTACGTATATAGAGTTACCACTCATAAAATCTCTGCGAAAATGTTTTTCATTCGATGTTCCACGGTCCTTCGGCACGGATGTGCTTCATTCTTCTTACTTCGTTCGTTTCATCGCGAAGTTTCGCTAGATAAAAATGACAAAACAGATTTTTCTTTCAATAAATGTCTACACTACAATTAATTTAATGTCCATACATTTTTTTCACCGCAGTACCGTCACGATATTACAAATATATCTACATGCCCATAACTCTGACTGAAGCTAACTCAACTCCAAGCGATTGTAACTTTGATTAAATACCCAAACTGATCACTCACTTAGATCGTGTGTTGGAATTTCTATTCAGTTTTCAGTAAAATGTTCGTTAAAATATTGTGGCTTCCACAGTTGGTTATGTTCTGGGGTGAGCACTGTAATTGTGAAGGTAAACCTTTAACTTAAATCAATTAGTTGTATATGACGTCGTTCAAAACAGAGGTTATAGGTTACAGTCGTAAAGTATTCGAAATAAAAAGTGTTATACCAGTTTGGTGTATAAAATGGTATAATATAGTTAATAGAACGCGTGCTTCATAATGCCATGACAACGCAATTCTCGATATTGTGGCAGATTCACCTTTAGGCAGTGTGTAGTATGACGCAGTAGTTGGCAATATGAGTTTTGTTGATTCAGTTACGTACAGCGTGTTTTGAAAACAGGATTATGAAAAACGGAATTAAGCTCTAACTTTATAATGGAAGAAAATCCGGTTCTGTCAATTGAAAGAGGCTAATCTGATTATGTATTGTGAGAAAAATTGAAAATGTCTTTTTTATTCAACGAATTTCCTCATAAATGTTTTACTGACTTTTCCAACTTGGATATGAGGTAGTTTGTGGGTATGATGTTGAATAATCAGGCAAGTAACAACATTGGAACTGTTGTATGATATCA